ACATTTTATTTGAACGATAGGATTTAGTCATTGTCCACGGCGGCGCTACGCTTGCAAGAAAATTACAATTTTCCCGGTGCCCGTGGCAATTTCCCGGCTAATTCCCGATTTTTCCCGGCGCCACAAAATTCCCGGCTAATTCCCGATTTCCCGGAATTTCCCGGTGAGTGGACACCCTATAGGAATAGGAATCAGTAAACGGAGAAAAAAATAACACAAGCTTCTTTCCACTACAAGGCTTTCGTTAGATTCTCACCTCGTTCCGAGCCTGGTCGGCGCGCGCCGTCCTGAGGCTGCACACAGCGTGTTCATCGACACAGTTAATCGTAGCTACTGCCTTGCAGAGCCGACACCAGAGGTGGTGAACAGCTACCAATGGCCTGCAAAGTAAAAGTGCAATTTAAATTGATGAAATCCAAATCAATGATAAGGTGAACATTTACTCGCGCAATACGCGTTGGAACGGGCGTTCTTGGGTCAAATATGGGAGCTATCTGATACACTGTAAATCAGAGTGTGATACTGACTGCGCGTTTTCTGTGATACAGAAGTATTGCACGATAATGTGATGGTCATCGCAGAGAAAGTATAAGATTAAATTCATAGCTTATATTTGTGATGACCTTATTTGAGCGATACTTCGAGGTATCATAATTTTTAGTGATATGCGTAGCACCGTTTTGAGAAAAATCCAGCATCATCGAAATTATTTTGCAATGAGTATCACACAATTTTGTGATGAATTCATCACACACCCAGGAATAATAAATCATGGGAATCACACAGGAAATTCTATCACACGAAAATGTGTGAAAAGTATCACACTTCGAATTACAGTGTATGCGGAAAACGAGCGGAAAATATTTCACTCGTCTTTAAAATTAGCGGATCAAGTTTTGTAGGCTTGATCGGTTAACTGATCAGGTTAACTTGCAGTAGAACTAGAAAGTCAAAATTTGTGCACAGATGCGCTCTAACATGGCTACTTGACTCCTACTTGGACACTTGGGACGGTTAAGACGATTTCAGGTGGACGGTGGTCGCGGAATCAGTAGGGCCTATTATCGCGTATGCGTCGGATATTCAAAACTGTATTTTCTGGAAAGTCACGGTGCCTGTGACAATTTTGAACGGCCAAAGTAGACGCAAGTGCGGCTCAGGCATCCACAACACCCTTCTCCTGGCACTAGATCCGATCTGGTGCAATTCAGGCCCTTAATCCTGTGGGCCACCACAGCAACAGCGGTTCCGCACTTGTCAGTACGAGCGCGAGTAGAGGTTGTGCCCTTCTTCGACCGCGATAGAAGGGTCAGACACAAGCCCTGTCTGCCGCCAGGTGGGCACAAACAGGTTCAGGAAGCGGGAAAAGCGGCAAAAGTTTCAGGGAAATAAAAGAGGCCCGCTTCACACTCCAAAGTCGAAAAAAATTAACTTTTACTTAACGTTTTATTACTGAAAGAAAGCTACACCTAGAAAAGCATGTTCTTGAATCAAGAGAATTCTCTCAAAACAAGTGTATGAACTCAAATTATTGAAGTACGTGCACTTTTCGAGAGAATCCACTTGTTTCCAGAACCTGACTACATATTCGGGTCATGAGAGTTACAATATTATGTTAAATTCTTTTGATATCTTCCATCGAAGGGTAGGAATTAGAAATCCAACTATTTGCCAAAGATGGTTCTGAATCAGTTTTCAATTCTCTTTCCAATGGTGTAGGCAGTGTTGACCTTACTGCAAAGATTCCTAGTTTTACTTATACCCCCTCTCAAAGATGCAGTTTTTGCATCAAAATGTTAGGAATTTATAGATAAAGATTATAGAAGATTATAGATTATAGACGTGATTATAAGTGATTACAGGGTCGCGGACTTTTGATTATACGAGTTGTAGACCCCTCGTATTTCATGCACTCTGCTTACCCATAACTGCAGAGCTGTACCACAGTTATAAGTGTAGAACTAAAACGTTCTGCAGTTCGAAGTACAATTTTCTGACCAGGATTAAGACCTTCTTTCCTGAGGACAGCATTGTTTTTGTCTTTAAATATTCTTTGAAACGAGAGTATATATAAGGTTGCGTCGTAAATAGAAACGCTGGCGAGACCTCAAATTAAATTCTAAAAATTCGTCTTCTTTCGCGTATCTGTTTTAATTTAACTTGCAGCCCTACCACATATGTGATCGTTTGGAAGATAATTCAAAAGACGAAACCGGTAGTGCCCTCAGAAAAAAAAATTCTTAATCCTGGCCAGAAAACTGTACTAAGAACTACAGAACTTTTTAGTTCTACACTTATTGTAAATGTAGAACATTTCTGCACTTGGATTAGGAGCAGAGCACGCTCATATCCTTACGGCCTCGCCTTCGGAGAATTTTGTGCAAACGTAACATGGATCACATATCAAAAGTAAAAGTGATGAAATTATCCGTATTATATAGATAATTTGATCTATTGAATCGTGCCTTCATCCGTCCATACTATTGACACGCGGACACATAGAGGGTGTTTCTTATGATACTTAACAATTATTCGCCCCGGTGTCATACTTTTGAAATTTTTGCCCCTGATAGGAGGGGGTGGGGCGATATGAGGGTCGGGGATAGTTTTTCGCAGGCGATAGAACGCTTTGGAAACATCAAGAAGGGGTCGCGAATAGATAGTACACGAAAAAGGGTGTAATTCCGCGACCACCGTCTAGCCGAAATCGTCGCAACTTTCCCGATTTTTGTCGCGCGTACGCAAGGTTAGGGGATGCTGAAAACGACGGGGGTGAGTCGCGTGCTTGATCTTCCAGGATCATCAAGTTGACACATTAGAGCGCATCTGTGCCAAATTTCGACTTCCAAGTTCTACTACAAGTTAACCTGCCTGATCAAGCCTCCAAAAAATATTTCTCAATTTTTGGGACCAGTGTACAACAAAGAAAGCAAGCCCCCGTTAAAGTTTCAAAGGCGATCAGACTAACAGGAAGTCCATACAAGCAGTTTTCGAAGAAAAGTGATAGTGTGTCCGATTACATCTACCGAGTTCTATACGTACTTCGACAACTCGCTAACAAGGCTCAGGACAGTAAAGTTGTCAGGCAAATCCTCTGGAAGGGTCGGAAAACGCTGCAACAAAAGACACTCAAGCCACTATTTGTCGCACATATTATAAAATACATGGTGTCTCATTGAACCCTTTTTTCCAATAAGGCGGCGGCACTGATTCCAGCTTCGGCCACTTAGAGTGCAGATCGCTCCCAGTTTGATGTCCTTACGCTGGAAATAGAAGTCGAAATTTTCCAACAAGTGTCAGTCCAAACTGATCAGAAACATGATTTCCTACAACATTGTTGAAAAAAAAATCCAGTTCCTACTTTGGAAATTTTCGAACAATTTGGAAAACAGTTAACTAAACGTATCATTTTACATAACAAGGTTTAGTAACGCAACAGAAACTACAGCTCGTCAATAAATTTGAAATGTCACTCAAAAGTTCATAGGAACTTTCCCCAAAAGTTTGGAAATTTCTAATTAATTAGTTTGGAAAAGCGTTTCCGAATTGTTTGGATTTCAAACTCTCCAAACTGTTCAGGGTGCAAATTTTCCACAAGAACTAAAATCTGCAGTGTAGTTGGTACGGTGTAATTGCTGAAAAAAAACACTTATTTTCCGCGCTCAATAGACCAATTCAATCTATGTCCGTAAAGGCACGTGAGGGAGAAAGCTCCAGACCAAGGCGGTGGTCCTGCTGAACGGCCTTCACCCTGGTCTTGTTTGCAGGCTCGGCACTCTGTTTCCATTTTCCTTTTCTTCCCCACTTGCCTGGAGCGGGCGGGACATAGACTGAAATGGCCTACTTTTTCCTTGTTTTCGACTAAAAAGACACTGAAGCGCTAAAAAGATACCACGAAATACTAGCCCAAAGGGTCATAACTTTAATTGTCGAGAAAAAGGTCCAAACACATTAAGTGTAAGACGCACTTCAGCTGAAATTTGGTCTAAACCTACGCTGAAAACGGTAAGAGATGGAGCAAAACGGATAAATTGTCGGTTCGGAGGGGTCTACTTTGACGAGTTACCCCATAAGTAGGATAAATACAATAAAAAATACTTTTTGATTTCTCTAAGTATTCATCTGGTTCCTGCAAGTGGACCTGAACACTGAACATGGTTCTGTTAAAAATAGTCCACAGGGCTTAGAAAGAGACAGTCCCTACGAACAGGCCACAGCAGGGGTATTACACAGGGCCCCGCAGCCGCGCCAAGCGTAAGTCGAAGCGGCGAGTCGGTTCCACGTGGTTGTGGAGGGGGTAGTAGAGTGTGCTGATTGGTCGGTCCTTCTCCTTCTATGGCCTATCGTCACCACATCGAGATATCTTCTCGACCCGAACTCGAACTCGACGTCGTGCGGTGCGATACCGGAAACGCGGCCGGCGAGCTCGAGCACGAGCTTTAGGTAGCATTACTATTCTGACAGCTCACTCGCGAGGACGAAGAAATCTTCAAGCCATCTGACAACATGCGTGAGTATTTGCTCCCGAAATTTGTAGACTTAACCTCAATAACACGACGCATGTGTCGTGTCATCGGTGTCATGTAACAGCCGCGTTCCCCCTTTTCTATCTTCCAGCTCCCTCGGAAGGACAATGGAAAATGCTCCTTGACTATGTTGAGGACGACAGAGAGATGAGGATGTTCATGGTCCTGACGAAAAGACACGCCTGACCTCTAAATGGGCCGCATGCGCCAAGGATCTCAATAAGCTTGGTCCCGACTTCAAAACAGGGCCTCAATGGCGGTAGGTTAGTGTCAGTTATGCAATGTCCTTTGCTTCTGTATGAATCGATGATTATGTGAAACTGACAATAGTGGTTTTGTTCCAGGCATTTTACGGTCTGCGGGCTCGTTCTCGGCAGGCTTACGCAGACCAGATGACCTATGTACGTGGGACTGGTGGAGGGGAGAACGTCCAAGTAGAGGACGTGGTGCCGAACGCGACTTATGCAATGTGTCTCAGGATTACGGGCTCTGTGACAGCCAGTGGTAATCCTGCTGTACCGAGCTCCTTGCAAAGAAGGTTTTTCAAATTTTGCTGTGAGTAGTTTGTGTGTGAGTGTGTGTGTGAGTGTTGTGTGTGTGTGTGTGACTGTTGTGTGTGTGTGAGTGTTGTGTGTGTTGTGTGTGGTGTGTTGAACTATGTTTGCTGTTCTGTTAGAACCAGGCCCTGGCCCAGTCCCAGTCCCTGCAGGCTGCTCCAGCTCGAATGCCAAACTTCAACCATCATCATCCTGCAGCAGCAGGCTGCTCAACATGGAGTGATGGCGGAAAGTTAGTTCTGCGGTTGGTTAATATTAGGAGTAGTTTTGTTGTAGGGATTCAAACGGACCATTGTTCCAGCAGTTTAATCTATCCTCGCGTCCTTGTTTCAGTTCCTAGCAGCATGTTGAGGACTTTGGGAATCGGGGAGAGCATGGCAGCCCACCACGAACGCGCTTTCGTCATGAGAGCACCCAAGACCCTAGTGAGTCAGCTACTAGCACCAAGTCCTCTCATGGTAAGTAATCATACTGAAAATGTAGTATAATCTATGTTTTACTTCATCTTACTTTCTGTTTCACTGACCTTTCATCTTTATACTTTGCAGCTCTAAGGTCCGAAATATCGGAGCAGCTGCAGGTGTTGCAGTTGCAGGTGACTCTCGCAGACTTGTTGGAAAAGCTATATCACTTGTGTGCGGGGGTGCATGGTAGAGTTTGCAATCGGTCGGTTAAACGTCTTTTCGCTTACCCGATGCTCGCCGGCGTCTGTACCCGACCCGACCCGACCCGACGGGGACTCTGTCGGGCAAGTCGGGTGAGCCGGGCAGCCTCCGAATCGCCGACCCTTAGCCGAGCTTCCGCACGCTCTTCGCACGCAGACCCCCGCTCGGCTGGACCAGCAGGGCGAGAGGTGAGGTTGCGGGGACAGGTGACGCCTAGTGTGGCTGGGCGTGCCCAGAGGGGGTGAACAGGATAGGATCCTAAGGCGCAGGTCTTGTTCTTGGTTTTGCTATTGTTGTGACGTCAGTACCTCAGATCCCGTCTGGCCACCCCAACAACAATGAAGATCGGGCGCCTACCTCGGTTTTCAGCACAATAGTTTAAAATCAAGGCAGACAGCTAGGAGTCCTTCTAAAGTGAACGGTGTGATTACTGATAATTTATTAGACTATTTCTGAGAGGAAAAATGTGTGTTGTCAGAATATTAGTCAACTGAGCGTGTCAAACATGAGCATGTTGGAGTTGGTATGTTTTGTCGCGAAGCTGTTTGTTTACGTGCGGCTGAGCTGTCTGAAAGTTTATTTTAAAATAAGAGAATATACAATTTACGAAGCAACCACGAGTCAACGGAAGCTAGTGAGCATTGATTCGAGTTGAGAAGAGACCGACTTTTCGTTTTGTCATCGAAATCAGTCGTTCAGAGGTTTAGAACGACGTGTTTACGTGTGATCGAACTTGTGAAGGTAAGTTTCGCCCACATAGTCAACCAAATTCTTAATTGCAAATAAAATTCGTCCCAAATGACGTACAGAACAAAAAGAAAATCAACGTTAGTCTATGTTTTAGGTAAATTATGCTGTGAGAGTACCCTAACCTGAACTGTTGCTGTGTGACAACTTGAACAATTTTGGACTGTGGCGACTGTGTCAAGCATAAATTGCACAAATAGAAGAATACAGAGTATTTATGAGAGAAACCAGGTAAGATAACATAATAGCTAGTATCAGAACAATCATTAATAATATTAATGTCACTCTAGACATGAGAAAACATGTACAAGTGATTATTGTAATTAAAAATCACAGAGCACAATAACTAAATCAGAAACTGACTAGAAACAGTAAACAAAATGAGTATATAAATTTCATTAATCTTTTACAACGTTAACAATTTGAATTAATGCTTTGATTTCACAACATTAATTTGTACAATAATGACTAGTTGTTTGTCAAGTATAAACAAAATAAAATTAAAACAAAACAATTGTAACAACTTTGTTACTATAGTCACTTCTCAGAACAAAACAACATAGCAAAGCTTGATATTGCAAATAATTTTTACAAATTGCTAGTCTGACAAACATAATTTTTCCTACTACCACTACAAATAGATCAATTTAAAATTGATAGTAAAGTCAGAAAATTAAAAAATACATAAATGAAGAATAATAAACCCTTTTTATGTTTTACAGGTGAGCAACGCACTGTAGTTTCCTGCACTGCTGTGGAGCTGCTGATGGTCCAGGAATGTTGGGATCATCACAGTCTTCTTCAACTTCAGGCGCTGGTTTATTCCTGGAATGTCTTGCCTTGTATTCCTGGTTGATTTTCGCCAGGAGGTCTTCCAGAGCCTTCCTACAGAAAGATTTTATAAGACTGCTCTTCGCCTCTTCATTGTGGATGTCACACAGCTCAAAATTCTTCACTTCAGGTATGGACTGTACTCTCCTGTGAATTGTGTCGACCACATGAAATTTTGGCAGAGACCACAATGTCCTCTGCATGCCAAGTACCATTTTATAAATTTTATTCACCAACGTGGCAACCTGATGATTTGGTAACATGACATCCATTTCTCCCGGTGCAGCAGACATGGTGTGGGGCAGGTGCAGTGGAAACTGTGGCTGAGTGACAAGAATTCCACTACACTCCCCACATTGCAGTTTTGCCAGCTCCCTGGAGACAATGGGAGCAGCAACTTTGGCACTTGCAATGCTGCCCAACCAATCCGCATCCCCACCACTGTCAATTTCTTCTAAGTATTCTTCATCTTCTTCGTCATCAAGGTGAGTGGGCGCAGTGGGAGTGGGTGCACTTCTTTCCAGGATGTCTATTAATTCTTCTAAATCAAATAAATTGACAGCCTCATCATCCCTGCAGTTTTTCCCCTTCGACTCTGTTGTCAGGAATTTCACGAAGGAGCGCAGAAAAGCTGAGGGGATGTCCTGGGCAGAAGGTCGGAACCTGTGGCCACCATTAAAGCGCATTCCAGAAAAGAAATTTTCTTCACAGTCTTGGTTTACATGGCCCACAGGTAAGTACAAAAAACCACTTTTTTTTAGTCCATCCCAGAGCTCGAGAAAAGCAA